ATAGAAAGAGAAATACCTATGGCAACTCCCAATACATTATCTTCAGAAGCTCCTTTCCATTCCGTAATAGCCAATACTCCTCAAAAGGGACTACAATACTAATTCCAGGGAGTCCATAGTGCCTTGAAAGGTACCTGTTATGCTTCCTCAAATCCCAGAAAATCAGGCAGGAAAAGGACACCCAGGGGGTACTCTTGACCAGCATTTTGCCGTTCATCATTAGAGCTCTCTCTTGAAACTTGTTCCAATCATTTTTCCACCGAAAGTATTTTCCCTTGAATATTGAGAAGATATTAAAGCTGGTTGTCATGACACTGCATTATTTCAGTGTCCAGCAGACTGAGGAAAAGGCAGCCTACAGGAAAGACCACAGACCTCAAGCCAAACTATGCAAGTTTTTGACATAGTTATAGCTCTGAGACTGTAAAAGTTGAGGCTATTAACTACAGAACACATCGGTATTGTTAGAACAAAACAAAGAAAGATTTGAAGAGTATGTGAGCAGCCCATTGAAACCAAACTAACTTGCTCATTTCAAGTCAAATATATGAATGAGCTGAGGCTAAAATGCTAATCAGATCAACATTTTTGATGAAACTCATTCTTTCAGTATGCATCATTTGAACAGATTTATCTTACATAGCTATATAAAAAGTGAAATATCCTAGCTTCTCTGAAGCTATCCACACTACACTCCACTGCTGTGAGATTCTTGTTCACAGGAGAAAGAGAATGGAAAAATACTAGAATTCTACTTCTTCTGCAGCTCTCTCAATTGCTGTGGTCGGTTTGCTCAGATGACATCCATTTTTGAGGCACTCCAACCCTCTATACTTAAAACACATTGAAAACCTGCAGCTTTAATCTAGCATGCTTTATTATCGTATTTATTATTTAACTTAAATCTGCCAATAGGCTTATGATCTTACACCAGATTTATAATCTGCCTCATGAAAATCAATGCTGTTAGAATAGATCAAAACAGGTTTGACCTGGCAGAAAAAGATCAATCTACAGAGACAATCTTTTAGATCATGAACTCCATTATCTCTGAAGTCAAAATGAAAGGTGCTTTTATTTTTCGGTCTTTTCTTCACACCGTGCAGATTAAGTTGGTGATCAAGAACACTAAAGAGTTAATAGAGGAATACTTTTTCCAGATACAGTTTTGTGAAAATCTACTTCTCTGAGGCAGGTTTTTTTTGGGTGGGGGAGCTGGTGGTGCTTTTCTGGTTTTTCAGTTGGGCAAGGGAAACACGTCCAAATTTTCCGGGGCAATTATCATCGCTCTAAAGAAAGGCAAGTGTATGTTTTACCTGGACTGGTAAATCTTTGTGGCAATTTTGCTAGGCACTTGAATATTTTCTTTTCCCCTCACACACACACACAATTACAGTATCACATGTAACAGGGAACAAAGACTACAGGGAACAGAGTTTAATGGATTGTGATTACTGTTCTGGAACAGATTGAGTCTCTTTATAGCCTATGAGAAGATGATGTGAACTGAATTCAAACAAAGAACTGATAATGGATTTTACTGAAAGCTACACAGTTAAAAAAGACACTCTCATAATTCATAGCCAGGGAAGGTACCTCAAAGCAAAAAGGTATTTTAAAAAAATAAGAGATGGATTAAATGTAAAACAACAGATTTAAATGTTATATCTTTATATAGAACTCTACTTTCAAGAAAGAAAATTCAATAATATTATTTATTTTTATTTTAAATATTTTCATTAGTAATGTTACGTTTTGGCTTTCTTGTGCTAATACAGCAACCGGCCCCTTCTTGTTTTTCAGGCAGTTCTGTTCATGTTTCTATCTAACATAAGCCTCTGCTGTTACCAAATCAAATCAAGTGTACTTAAATCAATGCTTTAAAAATAAAGCACACTTCTTGTCAGCCATTCTGTTTCCCTATACTTCTTACTCCAAATCAACTATCCAGACAATTTCTTCTTCTCCCATCCATAAGTGAGGGAAGAGGTGACTTTTCAGCTATCCATAATGATTCTTCTTGACTTGCTCACAGCATGGGGGAGGGAAGTACCTCATCCCTGCATAAATACCTCCCTTTATGACTACAGACGCCATTTCTGATGTGCTGTCCTAGGTGGCTGTTTTCTTTAATCTGATATCTCTCCAAGCAGTGAAGGCTGCCTGTTTCTGAGTAAATAGCTTATGAAATTTAGCCAGTAGATGAGAAAATCAATTTAAGATATATTTACTGTAGTGTTATCTGCTTCAAATTTTACCTTTTCAAATTCTACCTTTTACATAAGGAGGAAAACGCTGCCTGTAAATCAGAATAGGCCTTATTAAATTTCTTATGAAATGAGACTGAAGGATTAAAACAATGCATAGAAGTTGTTATGTTGTTAGCAGTAAATCTGATGAGTTAACCCATAAAAATCACCAAACATCCCACTTTCTGATTCGTGAGACACACTTTTAAATACCATTTCAATAATGTCTGTCATAAGAACTGGTCCAGTATCAATGCTGGGCCCTAAATCTACGCCCAAATAGATGAATCTTCATGATCTTTTTTCATTGTATTAAAGAGGATTATTTCTGCATATGAACAATCATTTCTGTACCTCTAATTACATTGTGCAAATATTTTAAAATTGAAATACTGTCAAGTTTGTAATAAGCAAGCTCTAGTTGAAGTTTTTCTAATAGGTAATTTTCTTCTAACTTTGAATCCTCCCACCAGACACCCACATTGTCCTCGTCTTTTTGTACTGCTTGTGCTACAGACATCTCCACTAGAAAAGACTCAAACAATTACCTAATGGTGCAGAACTAGCATGACAGCGCTTGCTGCTGTGCACCCCATTTCAATGAGGATGTCTTTGTATGACTCAGAATGAATCAGACCGAGAAAAGAGAACTGCAGTCCCAGAAATAATAAACAGCAGCATACAATTTGGAAGGAAGATCCTATGCTTCTTAATCATCACTGCCCCACCGACAATTCCATCGCACATAATGCCACATGCCTACATAGGACACACATGTGGATGTATGATCATCTTATAATAAGCTACAAAAATATTAATCAAGGCCCTTAGTTGAAAATATCAAGCCCTAATCAATCACAAACAGGTATTGATATAATGCTACATGCATCAGCAAAAGACGTAAAGACCTTAAGAAGCCCATTGCCATACCCACACTTCTGTCCCCACAAGCCAAACTGGTGCCTAGGATGCACATCACTTAGGAGGCATAAAACCCCCTCTTCCAAGTATCCAACACAAAGGCTAGGTATGAGGAGTTGTGGACTCAAGGTCCTCCAAAGTGGAGAATGCTTGGTCATACAGCCCTTTCACACAGTCAAACTCAAAGCTAATGGAATGCTGACTGGTTTTATAGGATCAACTGAGCTGATTGGTTTTAGAGGATCAACTGACTAATCCTAGTCCTCCAAAGGAACAGGAAGATTGTCACTTATTTAATAAAGCCCAGCTGTCACGTCTCCACAGCAAACCCATACACATATTATGAGTCTCCTAATACCTTTTGTCCTTAGCTACGTGTGTGTACCTGGGGAGATGGGGAAAGCAGACCTCTACCACTGCAATGACCTCACATGAATCTTTTCTGTGGAAGTACAGAAATTACAGACAGTGTTACACCAGAACTTGGACTCTAACCAGTCATCACAGCTGTATAAGGTTCAATACACTCCCCAAACTGGGTCAGATTCATTTTCTAGAGGGGTGATGTCAAAGATATACACACTGAAGGTAAGTCTTACCCCAGCCAAAAATTCTACTGATTCCTCCAGCTGATGAGCGCTGCTGTCTTATTCATCATCACATATTGGTCAGAACACCAATACCATCTCTTAAGCATAGGCCTGTAGTAGCCCCATTTAACCACAGAAAATCATATTCTCTTTCTCCATAAAACCAAAAAGGAACAAATCCTTTATTAAAATGCTATCAACATACAGTATATTCAGTAGAAAAGAAAACCAAAAGCTCTCTTAAATAATACAAAAAACCAATAAAGTTACTGCATTTCCATATCATATTTCTTTTTTTCCCACTCCCTAATCCTCCATTATTTACTTTCTTGTGTGGTTTGTCTAGCTTCTTGCATATATTGATGCTTCTAAGATCAATGGCTATTTAGTCTACTTCCTCCTACATTTAAGTAGAGGTCTCTTTTTATTCCATTATTTGCATAATGACTCTTATTTTCATATATTTTTAGAAAAAAAAATAATTCTTGTAGATCAAATTTTAACATTCCACTGTGAAGAGCAATTAGCAACAGTAAAGTCACCAAGTGCAGTTCCTTCTCTTTTAGGAAGAAGTCCAATACTCAAAATCACTGCACACAATCAAAATCCTTGAGATGTCCTGTACTGCACCATGTTATGGTCAACTGCATTTGATTAAAAGACCTTAAAGTACTGCAGTACTCCTAACTTTTCAAAAGAAGATTGCATTCTCTGAGGTAGTGTCTCAGGGGTGTCACAGCTGCATAGTTTTCCTGAAAAACATTTATTTGTGACCTTTGGCCATGAACAAAATGACAATATCCTAAATCCCTAGGGCTGGAATCTCAGGAAGGGCTCCACTGAAAGATTTCAGCTTTCTCTACAGGAGGAAAGGTAGCCATGAACCTGTTTCTTTGCCAGTTTTACTTCAACATTTATTTAATGTCAACAATTTAAATGTCAGCACTTTCTTATTTTCAAAGGTGGAAACGCTGAGTATACAGGATAAATTATCTCAGCAGTCAGTGACTATGCCTGCTTTTGTTTTGTAATCTCTTCAGCAGCTTCCTCTTCCGTCAGGGATGACTGCCTACTGGTTTTGGTTTCCTATCTATCTACTGTTCTGCACTTCTTTACAAGATAAGAGAAAAAAGCTCTAGGACCTTCCCGGATAGACTGATAATGTCCCAGAGGCCCCATGTGTTATATCACTAATCTCCAAGACATTCTCTTCCTATGGAAAATGGAAGAAAGAGGAAGGAACTGTAGTCAGTACATAGGTATCTTAAGTTCATTTGTTCTTTTTTTGGCCTTTCATCTTTCTGTCAGGCAATCTCTGGAATATCCAAGTGGCAGCTTTAGAGAATGACTTAGGGAGTGCAGACATGATACAGCCTTTTCTTCTGCAGACCTTGTCTGAGAGCACCCCACAGCCCGCGTAGCATTAGCCTGCTTTCAGGGAGGGTTTCAGAAGCCCACCTAGGGAGAGAAATATTAATAGCTGGGAGGAAATGCAGACCTGGACTGGCAGGGGGTTAATCCACTGGACTGTCTGAACACATGGATCTCCTTTGGTGTTCAAAACTGAACTATGATTTGTAGTCTGCTTCCTGCATCCCCTTTGAGTGCGGCCTTGAGGACAATGCTGAAATTGCCCTGATAAAAGAGACAAGACAGACACAGAGAAAAAAAAAATCTTTATTGGTATGCTTTTCAATTAAAATGAACCAATAAATTTAAATCTAAATAATCCCAATTATAAGATATTAAAGTGACTAAAGGCACAAATTAACCCTAGACTTCTATGATCCATGTATCCAGTCAAATCAACACTTCTGTGTGTCCAGGCCCTGAATTTCACAATAACTAATACCAAGAGAAGAAGGTTTGTATTTATTCTGTGCTAAAGAGAAGACAGGTTTCATGACTGAAGGGACTATTATCATCAGAGCTTTTGCTTAGGGCAGTTCACCAAGCTTTCCCAGTGGTATTTCAGTTTAGCTCACAACTCTTGTTCGAATCTTAGAAAGATATCCAAGTAACTAGGAAAAATGGAAATGCTACCTACTACGTTGTGTTGGTTTAAAGGTAAACCAGCAGGGGAAATGAACTCAACTCAAAGGAGAGATTATAAGTCAGAATAACAATTTAATAAAATAATACAATAAATACGATTATACAGACAAACAGTTGGTTTTAACCCACAAAACCCAAACGTATAACCCAGCACCTGGGGCATGAACACAGTGGTGTTCGTTGGGCCCCCTGAGTCCAAAGTAAAAGGAGAGGGAAAAAACCTGTTGGTGAGAATGCTGTTGCAGTCTGGTCAAGAGTGGTGATTTCAGTCTGGTTGAGAGTAGTGGTCTGCAGTCTTCCTCTGGATCCCATGAGTAGTTAAAAAAGTCCCAAGACTTCAAGATTATATATCCTCCAGTTCAGGCAGGAATGCCCAGTACCTCCCTCAGGGCGGGGAGTTCCACAATGGGTGTGTGGACAGGAGCATCCTCTTATCTCACAGGCCTCTTAACACCCAGTTTATAGCCTGAAGAGTCAGGCTGCTCTGGGCAGATGGTGTAAATGGTCTATTGATAACAGTTTCTGGGAAATGGCATGGAAGGTTATAGAATACACAGTTTTGGGTTACACCCATACAGTGATGAACTGGTCCCAGCTGTTCTAACTAGGACATATGTCAAGTAATTAAGCCATTCAAAAGAGCTGGGGAGATGTAAAACTTAGAAACTACTTCCTGGGTTGAAATTTCTGATGGATACTGTCCTGGGTTTGTGAGGCCAGATTTTGGTAGTGGGGGGACTACAGGAGTGGCTTCTGTGAGAAGCTGCTAGAAGCTTCTCCCATGCCCAATAGAGCAAATGTCAGTTGGCTCTGGGACAAATCTGCTGGTTGGCCAAGGCTGAGACAATCAGAGATGATAGTAACACCTCGGTGATAACATTTTTAAGAAGGAAAAAAAGTTATTGCATAGATGTAATTTGGGCCAGAGAAGAGAGGAGGGAGAATGTGTGAGAGGAATAGCAGACATCAAGGTCAGTGGAACAGGAGGAGGAGGAGGTGCTCCAGGTGCCAGAGCTGCACCTTGTGGTGCAGACCATGGTGAGGCAGCTGTGTTCCTGCAGCCCATGGAGGACCATGGGGATGCAGAGATCTACTGGCAGGCCATGAAAGAGACCCAGAGCAAGTGGATGCCCAAAAGAAGGCTATGAATCTGTGGGAAGCTGGTGCTGGAGTAGGCTCCTGACAGGGACAGAGAGAGAAGCCCATGCTAGAGCAGGTTCCCCGGTAGGACTTGTGTCCCTGTGGGGGACCCACACTGGAGCAGGCTGTTTTTAAAGGACTGCACCCCGTGGAAAGGGACCCATGTTAGAGCAGATCACAGAGAACTGTAGCTTATGGGAGGAATCCTACATGGAGTAGGGCAAGGACTGTTCTCCCTGAGCAGTGGCAGAAACAACTTACGACCATAACCATCATTCCTTGTCTCCCTGTGCCACTGGTGGGGGAGGAGGTAGAGCCCAGGAAGGAAGGAGGGGTGGGGGAAAATGGTTTTAAGATTTTACTTCTCATTATCCAGATCTGATTTTGATTAGAAATAAATTCAGTTAATTTCCCCATTTCAAATCTGTTTTGCCAACGACAGTATTCGGTGAGTGATCTCTCCAGTCCTTATCTCAGCTCGTGAACTTTTTTCATATTTTCTCTCCCTTGTCCAGATGAGAAGGGGAGTGATAGAGCAGCTTTGGAGGGTGTCTGGCCCTCCAGCCAGGGTCAAAAGACCACAAACACTGAAAAGCACTCCCTGGCTCTGGGGTACAAATATTTCAGATTTCTGCAAAAATTATGTCATTCACATCTTAATTCTATTATATCAGACTATATATCAGACTATATATCAGACTAAAAGCAAAGCAGCGGCGGTCTGAAAAAATAAAAGCTAGACACGATTCCAGTATGGGGGAACTGGAATAGTTTATTGAACACAAGGACACTATTTTAAAGGCATCTGGGGCTGGACATGTTAATGAAGGGGACAACCTATGTTAATTGGGGAGTTACACAAGTTTTTACTGCAGTTTCCAAATAGTTAATTTTTCTTCTAGTAGGATTACATGGGGGATAGAAGGATTACAGGGGTTTAGATATGGTTTTAACAATCATCTCAAAAAGTCCTTTGTTAATTCTTCTTGGAGCCAGGTTTATATCTCTGGGTTACACATTAACAGGTCTTAGGAGAAGAGTCCAAACTTCTTGAATCACGAGATGTTTGTCAACCGAGCTTTCTTTTGCTGAAAGCTGGGTTTGGGCTCCCACACAAAACTGCTGTGAAGTTAGTGAATAAAGAATGGGTTTGAAAATGCACATGCTTGAAATGATGAAAAAGTATAATTCAGTGAACCACAGTTCAAAAAAACTTTTTTTAAAACATAAAATTGAGAGAAACCCCACGGCTTATACAAGGTAAGTATATATCATCTTTTACATCTGAAAGCCTTGATGACAAAGCCCAAATCTTCACATTCTCTAAAAATGCCCTTTATACAAAAGGTTCAGTCTAGGGCTATAAGCCCAGTGTTTCACTTAAAATTAAATTAAGGGATACTAAAATTAGCATATGCACTAATTGCTGTAAATTGTGAATTTCAACCACTAAGGGGATGACTCGATTAATTCTGCATGCCAGGAGTAACATCAAAAACAATGTATCATGGTGTTCATTCGGGTACTGAAGATGAGAACTTTCATGATCTATCTGGTGAGTCTGCTTAAACCAGAGGTTTCTTTGGAACATAGAATGCTATTTACTTAAAGAAAAAGCCTCACAATATGGGCCTGTATGAATTTTTTCAGTTATTGTGAGAAATCAGATGTATTTAAACACATCTAAAAGATTCCATATACAAATACCACTTGATTGTAAGAATAAAGTCCTTCTCCTAAAACCAAAATGCTCCTGTACTTCATTAAGATGCAGATAAGGACTATGCTAAATATGCTATCAACAAGGATAAAACATTCTTCCACGGTGATGAAAAATTATCAATCCCAGAAAAAAATAGACTGTCTTGCTCCACTGTAACAGTAATTATTAAATAAAGGCACTGTGACAGAAAATGATGTAACTTCCATTTCCTAATTTCATTATATGCAAAAACACACTTAAAATACACGGGGTTGCACTTCCAGGCCTGTGTTCAAGACAATATGGCATTGTTCCTTGGTCACAGTCAGAAATGTTGATGGAGGCTAAAAGCACCACAGTACTTGGCATATTTATATCTGCTCTTAAGCCTCCTCTCAAATCTACTGAGTAAAAAATTCTTCAAACCTTAGGAAGTGAGATCTGGAAATACTTTCATCAAGTTAAGGAATAGGCTACTGCGCTTGCCAATATCATTACTTTTAAAAACCTCTAACTCAATTTCCATTTTTCACGTATAGACCTCCAAAAGTTTAGATTATATTTTAGTTGATTTCAGTTTCTCACCTCATATGTTATACCATACTAGGTCAGAAGGCACCCCTTTAGCTGTGCTTTTCTGGATAGTGGTTACTGTCTCCTAGTCCTTTCAACTTGGTTTATTTGCAGGTGGTTTCATTCATCAGTTTGAGAGAGAGAAGCAAGTTTTGAAGAGATGGTCTGCTTTTATAGCCCAACACAGCAACATGGAAAATAGGAATCTGCATCTACTTCTCTCTGCCTCAGGTCATCGTGGACACAGCCCACAGTTCACCTTTACTGAATCTGGAGCTCATTAATGCCTAAGGAGGCAAGTATGTGCAAAACTGAATGCTGAAGAAGAATCTGCTCCTGCCATAACAGTCTCAGGGGCCACAGGAAGCAAGCGCTAGGCAAATGCTTTCAAGTCATATCTTGAAAGAACTTTTAGGAGTTACATGGGTTCAGCTCCACAGTTTTATGCATCTTTTGCCTCCTGTGAGTTTCCCATAGTAATCTGCATTTAAGCTTTACAGACAGAAAGGACTATGAATTATGAACTATTGTCCATTCTCACATAGCCATATACTGGCTATAAAACTGTACTTTATAAGGTCTGCAACAAGCCCCACAGATTGTGATATTAATTCAGGTTTTCCTGCAAAGAATCAGCCCTCGTCTCAAATTTTTATCTAAGGTTAAAGAACATATACAGAATTCAAAATTTCAATATTGAAATATTTTTCTTCTGATTTCTGGTATGCAATCGCCTCTCTAGTTCCCCAAGGGAATTGGTACCCTTTTATTTGTTCCAAATGTTGTGATTTTCAGACTCTACTGAAGATTATGTCTAAACAATAACCAGAAACATCCCTGAACACTAGAGTATATGTTTCTGTAAAAACTCTCAAAATATTCCCTAAAACAATTTTGTCCTGTACGTCTTACAAAGAGGTACATGACCATAACTTGGTAGGCAGAGCATTTTTGGAACTACTGCTAAAAAGCAGTTTATATACAACCAGCTTAGTTTTGGAGGATAAGATAGTTCACTAACGTACGTATACTGTATTATCTGCCAGCTAGCCCCAGTGCCTGGGAGAAGTTTTAATCTACTAGTATAGAAATCCTCTAAATTTAGATAGTTTAAGAGATTCTTATATTGATTAGTAAGGGTAGCAACTGACGTTGCTTATTTGTT